GTCTTCAGAGGTTCGGGGACGCAGCCTGCTGGCCTTGAACGGCAAAGGGCATTTGGAGTTTTGCATTAAAATGGCCCAGGCTGCTCCCATTTTAGGACCAAAGAGTTTGCCTTTTCCCCCTTTTTTATACACACGCGTTGTGATCTCTTTCACCCACTCGTACACGTGTAGTCCGGGGAAAAAAAGGAGGGGAGTGGGGAACACCGGGAGCTGCTTGGACACAATCTGAAAACACTGTGGATGATAACGTTATTGTTACTCATATGTACTGTACTGCCAAGTGACATAATTCTAGTGATCCCCATAGGGTTCTGAAGATGCCTGAAATATTTTAGGAGTGGTTTTACCAACCACTCCCCCCCCCCAACATACCTGGCCAAGGGAGTTTCATAATAACCCTCCCATTGGTCTCATTTTGATGCTTGTCCTCCTATCTACAATGACAGCCCGTCTGTTTCAAGTTTCGGCATCATGACTGAATGAACAGTATCTATGACTGGCTCTTTCTCCAGAATGCTTCGCCTCCCATCACTTCAAGAGATTGTGGGCTATTTAAAAAGATGGTAGGACTCAACTGTGAAACCATTGTTGGCCTTAAACACAAAATCATGGATCACTCACTGGCTCTGGAATAAGGCAGTGGAAGGAAGTCACATTGATAATGTCCCACATCTAAGTTTATGTTTGCTTTGCTTGCAGATTTAGTCTTTTAGGTTTTTTTCCCCTGCAATGGTCAGATATACCACAGCCATATTGTGGTGACTCTACTAAAAAAAAGGGTAACATTTCCAACCTCTAATCAATTATTTGTCCCTTTGATGGATGCATTTGTACACGGGATTTGTTGTATGCCTACAAACACAGTGGTATTCCAAGTCATTCATTTTGCAACCATTTCTTTGCTTCCATTTCCTGGCGTAGCCCTGGAGGAAGCTCACTTTCTCTGTGGATGTTTTATGAGAAGAGGTGGAAGAGTTAAGGGAAGGACCGTAAGATTTGTACAGGAGTGAGTTACCTGTGGCTATCTTCCAGACATTTTCAGAGAAATAGCCCTGGTAGTTTGTTTCAACAGGTCTAGCTAAGAAAACAACAAAACCCCTTTAAGTATCTTTCAGCCAAATAAATTAAGAAATATTGCAAATATGCATTGATCTGTTACTCTTAAAAGTGCCTCAACACTTTGCTTTCGGTTTTGGTTTTTTGTGATGCCTTCAGATGGTGTTGGGTGTAACTACCATCAGCCCCAGCCAGCAGAGTCAAAAGTGGGAAGTGCATGCTGGGATTTGAACTTGTATAACATCTGGATGGCTACCCCAGCTTAGTAGAGTAGCTAATGCTTTGCATTTTAAAGGACCCAACTTTACTTCCTGCCATCTCTAGTTTTAAAAAGGGTTAGGTACTAGGAAAATTCTTTACTTATTTATATTTTCTTTGCTTTTTTAATGCTTTTGACTGAATTATTTTATTATGCTGCTTTGTAGTTTTGTTGCACATTGCCTGAGAGCTTTTGCATATGAGGTACAGTAGCTAATATGAGGGTGCAGTCACATGTGCCAAGAGAACCCCCAGTGATATCCATTTTGCCATAATTTAAATTCTTTTCTAAATGTCCATTCACACAATGTAACATTGATTCATTTGGCCACCCAGTTGTTTTTCTCCCCACCTCGCTGGCATTGCCTTTTAAAAATGACGATCCCTGTATCACTTCAGTCCTTATCTGTCACAGTCCAAGATATCCGAGGCAGCTTCTCACCAGGGGCAAGAGCACCAGGGACCCAATCCACTACACAGAGTATCAAGTCCCAAGGCACTCACTGCTCAGTTGGTTGTGACGAAGCAGAGCCGGGAGCACAGAGCTGGAACAAGGCGCCGAGATGCAGGAGTAAGCAGAGGCAAGAGCAGAGACCAAGGCAGGAGCAGGAGCAGATGCAGGAACGCAGGGACTCTGAAACAGCAAGGCAGTCAGCACACCACAGCACGGCCAAAGACTCTGGTTGCTGAGGCAAGTTCTGGGAGGGAGAACCACTCCTGAAGCTGCCAGTCCGGTATAGGCCAAATCCTGACATTATCATTTCGGCATGTATGAACATTGCTGTCAATTTACAGTATTTACTTCGAGAATAGGTTGGGTTTTGGGGCGCCATGGCTACTGCATGGCCATTGTGCTTAACCCCCCCCCATTTCTGATTTCCTTTTTTAAAAAAATGCTTAGTGATAAATCACATACTATTCATGAAAAGTTCTTGCAGCAGCAACAACACCATGGACTACATTGTTAAGAAGGAGACAGCCTTTAACCCCCCCCACACATACACACCTTCACCTGCACCTGGTTGAAGGGAGGGAGGGAGGAAGGTGGCATATCCCACCAGGTGACACATCAGTTAACAGTTGGAAGTGACAGGAAAATAATGATATATTGCTTTTTTTTTTTTAAAGAAAGAACATTTTAGGGCAGTGGGGACCCAGAAACAAGTTGGAAAATGAATCAGTTCATATGAGATGGCACATGTAGCCTATAAAATGGCACATGTAGGCTAGAAATGTACTGGTTGAACTGACAGCCATGTGAATGGGACAGCAGTTTATATACCACATGATTATACATAGGAATATATCAATATAAAAAAAGAGGGAAAAGAAACAATTCAAGGTGATTAGGCCTTATCTTAGAAATAAATGCATGCATCAGAGCTGCTGCTAGTTAGAGACAAAAAAAGGTTGAATGGGCAAATATGCTCATAAGCAATCTTTCGGTGAACCAGAGGAGGGCATCAAGGATGGCAAAGTGTTTGGAAGGCTAGCCCTGCAGGGACGGTTGAAGGAGTTTGGTATGTTTAATAAAAACGACATTAAGAATTGATGAAATAGTCATCTTCAAATATCTGACAGATTATCATGTGAAAGATGGAGCAAGCTTGTTTCCTGCAGCTGTAGAGGGCAGGACACAAACCAGGATTCAAATGAGAAGAAAGGAGATTTCCACTAAACACTAAGAAGAACTTTTTGGTGGTAAAAGTTGGCCCAGCAGTGGAAAAGCTACCTTAGAAGGTGCTGGACTCTCCTTCGTTGAAGGAGTTTCTTAGATAGTCAACTGTTATGGATGCTTAAGCTGCGGATGTCCCATGTTGAGTGTACAAAAAAGCACACTAAAGTGACCCCTGGAAATTCTCTTAAATTTGTAACTCTATGGCTGAAATCCTGTTGTGTAACCTAAGGAAATTTGTACATTTCTGCCCATTCCTTGCCAGAAAATAAATTGTTGTTGTAATCTCAGTGGTATGAACACACACTGGCTTACTTAGCTTTTATGTGAATCCAGCACTTGATGAAGACATATAAAATTATACAGGAGATGGATAGAGTGGATAGAGGGAAGCTCTTTTCCCTCTCATGCAATACTAGAAACAGGGGACATCCAATCCAATTGAGTGTTGGGAGAGTGAGAACAGAAAAAAGGAAATATATATTTACCCAACGTGTTGTTAATCTGTGGAACTCCTTGCCACAGGATGTGGTGATGGCATCTGGCCTAGATGCCTTTAAAGGGGGATTGGACAGCTTTCTGGTGGAAAAGTCAGTTGCAGGTTACAAGCCATGATGGGGATGTATAATCTCCAGGCTTAAAGAGAAGGAACCAACCAGATGCAGGGGAGGGATATCAGGAGACAGGTCTCTAGTTGTCGTGTGTGCTCCTGGAGGCATCTGGTGGGGCCACCGTGAGATACAAAAAGCTGAACTGGATGGGCCCTTGGCCTGATTACGTTCTTAGAGGCATCTGGTGGGGCCACCATGAGATACAATAAGCTGAACTAGATGGGCCCTGGGCCTGATTATGTTCTTATGTTTCTGTGTAAACACAAACTCCACTGTGACGGATAGGTCAAGAAACACTCCTGTCCATCACAATAGAACCCTGATTTGGGAGCCAATAGCTGTACAGAAGAGGCGGAACTAAGGATATTTAAGAGAATGGATGACAGTTAGAGTTAGAGTCTGAGTTGGCAGTTAAAGGATTTGAGAGTTAGAGAAATGAGTTAAAGTCTGAGTTAAAGTCTGTGTTAGATATGTCAGTTAGAGATAAGCAATTTAAGCAGTTAGGACCAGCCTGGTATAAGAGAAGAATAGAGAGAGAGAGAGAGAACATGATAAGAAATGAATAAATATATTGATTGAAATGATTATAACTAAACAAAATTAAATGTCACCAAAGCACAGTTGATTAATTAAATGAAATAAGACCATCCATTATTTACTTTATATGATTTACTTATGAATACTTTAATAAATATTGTTTAATTGAATCACACTGATTGAAGAGTTATATTTGATATAGTGAGGAGTGACAACTCTGGTGGCAGCAGAAAAGGTTGAAAAAGTAAATGTCACACCCAAAAGTGAACCTGGGTTGTGTGGAGAAACAAACAGGGGAACTGACATCCACTGATTGCTTCCTCTTAACTACTGGGAAGAGGAGAAGGGGACGACTGAGGACGAGATGGTTGGACAGTGTCATCGAAGCGACCAACATGAATTTGACCCAACTCCGGGAGGCAGCAGAAGAAAAGAGGGACTGGCATGCTCTGGTCCACGGGGTCACGAAGAGTCAGACACGACTTAATGACTAAACAACAACAAAACTACTGGTGGGTAGTTTTGATATCTCTTAATAATTAAATTGAACTTAACGACTAAACAACAACAAAACTACTGGTGGGCAGTTTTGATATCTCTTAATAATTAAATTGTAACATAAATT